AGTCTTGCCAGTTTGTGCCAAACTATCGGACAAGTGGTAAACTTTGTGTCCTGAGACGCTCTACTCTGATGGGCGGGATGTCGTTGCCTACGCGCGCATAAACAACACACCCCATTATTCTTCTAGGTGACCCCGAGTCAGTTGACCGACCGCATCCGAGAGTCTGGGTCAGCAAACAGCACCGGCATCATCCATCGAGACAGAGGGGAGGCTGTAAGGCTTCGCCGACGATGACACACGGCCCCGGCGCATCCCGTTATTCTTCCTGGCCTGCTGCGGAAACGCGGGCGGCGGCAAAGGGGCCATGAACCCGGCGGGATGGATCTAGACGCGGATGGACGCGGGGGTCTCCCGTCGTCGACATCGGATTGAACGCGCTTCCAGCCCTTGGCGCTCGTGCCCCGGATCGCGAGAGGGCTGAATCTGAAATCTGAATCGCGCGGGATAGCAGGATTTGGGATTGTCAGACATGGACCGTCCGTCATTCCTTTCGGACGCAGACGCCGAGATCCAGGGGCTGGCGTAATTGCAAATGATTGAGCAGAAAGAGAATGATGAAGAAAAAAGTCTATGTGAAATTGCCGCCGCCCGGCGTGGCTGACGTTGTCTGCAATGCAGTACTCGTTCGACGCTGATGACTGTAGAGCGGCAAAAGGGGGAGAGGGGCAGCTCTAGCTCCCGCGGAATTCCGTCGCAGCGGAAATACAGTTTTCAGTCAGCGCTCTCGCTTTCGAGAACCACATGAGGCGAGGAGGATCTGTAATGGCAGTCAGCGTCGTGGCCGGTCAGAAGCCATTCCGGCAGGCGAAGCGTGCGTCTTGCCTGCCCGCCCGCCTGTCAAAGTAAAGTGCCAAAAGAAGTGAAATTGAGATCAGCGTTCCATTTGGAGGCTTGAGGTTCTTGGGCTGGAACTAAGTTTCAACTTTCTCTTGTTCGTCGGACGTTGTGCTTGTTCGGCCCCGAGTACCCCGTCGTGGGCCCGCTGCGTGGTGGGTGCGGCTGATAGGCACGCAGAGTTGGGGGCACAGCAACAACAGCTCAAATCCCCGATGGCACAATTGGCTAGCGCGTCAGACTGTTAATCTGGAGGTTGGTGGTTCGAGCCCACCTCGGGGAGATTCAGTGGTTAAAATCCACCATGCCTTGAGCGGTTGTTTTTTGGATTTTTTTTGGTAAATGAAGTTTTTTCTTTCTTTCAGGTTTCAACTTTCCTGTGGGAGAGCTTCTTTAGGTGCAGGTTATGATTATCTGTGCAACTTCCAAGGACTGCATGCAGCATGAATGCCGACTAGTTATTGCGGCTTGTATATTTCAAGCCAACCTCACGATCAGAAAAATAGGCGCTGGACAGCGACTCGCAGGAAAATATTTTGGCTATTCCTAGCAACTCAGGTCAATTGCTTTCAATAGTCAATCAACTTGCAGATGGAAAAGACTTGTTGCGCTGAAACTCAAAACGCCCAAAGACTCAGGGAACTAACCAGGCATAGCTCGACTCTTCTGACAAGTACCCTCTACAACTTCCTCAAGTACTGTCAACATCTTGTCAAATCTTTTGAAAGGGCTTACTTAGTCTCAATCTTAGCAAGCCCGGATGAAACTCTGAGTCGTCGTTGCCTACGCACTTTCGCAACTGTTAGGGGACGCGTGCTGCAGACATATTTCACAGACATATGCAGGACTAGCAAAAAATGCAGCCTGCGGATTCACCGAAACTGCTTTGAACTCTTTACTCAGTTCAAATATAGCTGGATGCACCGCAGCGGGCAGTCTCATTGACTGCAGCCGATGCAGCAAGCCAGATCAACGCAACACGCAGTCCATTTGCCCAAAACTTGCGTCCAGTTGACCGGCTCTGGATCTGAGGCACCATGCATGTGTTTAGGCAACAGAGTCTTCGAACATGGGCAGTAGCGGCGTGGCCTGGCTTTGACCGGCTGGCTTCTCTAAAGACACACTGGGCGAGGAGCACAATAAGGAGGCTTCAGGCAGGAATCTCGATGTGCCCTGGCTGGATCGCTGCCTTACCGTCGTCTCCGAGGATCATGACCAAGGTCCAACAACTAGACTGACCGCAGAGACCAACGAACCTTGGTCTTCTTCGTACGTGATTATGGATAAACTGCTGACAATGCATTCGCCTCTATGCACGATATTGATCAAGAAGTCCATATCCCAATGTTTCGGCCCCAGAGCCGCTGTTCTTTCATTATCATATGGAAGTTCGCGAAGTGTCGTTGCTTTAAGATGCCGATTGACTCAGTTCAATATTGATATTCCATCATCCATGGTAGGAGGCTATGAAGCGTGGCACAGCGGCAAATATTGCGGTAGCAGACGGGAGGCGGCCTTGACACAAAATGCCAAAATTGACACGCCATCCCAATTGCTGGTTGTGGCATGTCGTGTCAGCTAGAGACACGTCCCCTATGCAACTTTCCTTCTGCCGCCTGCCGCCGCAATTACTCGTCGCCAATATTGGCCCTGAGGTATGGATGGAGGTCTCCCCTGCCCGATACAATAGCAACAGGCGTTGCATACGCATGAGGGCTGCTTACGGCGCTGGCAGGTCATGTCTAGTTGGAACAAGTCACGGTGCGTTATCCGATACCTCTTTTTTTGATTTTCAAAAGAACGACCGGCCAGGGACACAGAGGCATGGGGGCACATCTACACCCTCAAAATGACTGGCATGCCAGCGACTTCCAGACCTCAGGATTGAGAAAGTACGCCCGGAGAGCCAGCCCACACCGAACGCAAGGCGGCTTGAGGCGTTTGCAAGATGGCGCCAGAGCAGTTGACCGAGAGAACTGAACCTTCCGGCAGACGTTACTTCGGGGCGTCTCCCACGTTGAGTTTGGCTTGAGCAACCCACGAGGCAGCTTTGAGTTCGTTCCCGCTTGGATGATATGGTGCGCCATGGCAGCATTCTGATGGCTACGCTCATAGAGGTTCAGAGGTTGCCTTGCGCCAATGCGAACATCTCAATGACATTCAGAGGCGCAGCCCACAGGCCCACCACCTTGATATCTCGACAAGAGATTGCCGCGCGGGTAACGCCTCGGCACTTGTCGCACTCTCGACACCCATCCGCATCACCGCCTGATGAAACTCGACCAAGCTACGGTAGGTCCGCCGTCATGCCCAGAGAGGTTATGCCCAGCTGGTTGTCTGCCAGGCAGATAGGTCACCTTTCTTCCAGAGAGTTCCAAAAGTCACACGCACACAAGGTTGTTAGCCGATAGCCTAACGACGCCGACCGGCATACAACCACGGCGCGTAGCTGATCGTGCTACCAAGGGATGAGAAGGATACATGACGGATATGATGAGCAAATTTCGAGTCCACCCAGGCTTTCACAATAGCGGGAAACGTATCCAGGGGCATACATGATAATACATGTGCCATCCACCGAGCACATAGATGACCTTTGGCCGTCCTCAGGTCTCAAAGCAAATGCAACTCATCGTCTCTGTGGTCGAACAGTTCGAGTCGTGGCTTTCAGGGAACCCCGAAGTCCCCCGAGTTGTCGTTCCGTTCTCGTTGTCGCTTCAGATGTGGAGTGCACAAACTCACTCAACTGATAGATCCACCGCATTTCATGGACATGGGCTGATGAATTGATGAGGCTCTATGTGATGAAGTTCATTTACGAAAATAACAACAGACAGGGAGTATAAGAGACTCATAATATACACACGCATATCCGCGCAGCCTAACAGTATATTGCATTAACCCTACTATGTGACATTTTCGTAGACGAGCTGCGAAACTTTCTCAACATACCCCCATACAATTGACTGGCTGTGTTCTACTGAGAAGGGGATATTGTGAAAGTTTCATAGCTCAACTGGTAAGGGAATTCACAATATCTCAAGGAACCGAAGGGGGACACTGCTGCCTTTGGCATTGTTATTTTTTATTTACTAGTATGATATCCAGACCTCCTTGACGTTCAGTTGAGATACTTTCACTCCTGTAAAAGTCAAAGTCAACTGCCCGTCAACGACATTAGTTTCACTCAAGAATCATTGAATCTGTCCTGAACCTCCGCGAAGTCCAGTCGCGGTCGGATAACTTTGCAACCCGTCCCACCCACGGCCATGGCCAGCCCCTAGGTCCTCGGAGTAAACGCATAAAAACCAAGCAAAACGACCAAACCAGGTTCTCTCATCACCTTACTCTAGACCACATGTTGATCCGCTCATACTGACGTCTGCACTCAACTTCGTTACATGTCTGAACGGCCTCATTCCTCGATTGATGGTCCAGACTTCACATTTAAGAATATTCGCCCTCCCCTGGCCCCAGGTTGCATGCGCACTCGCTACGTCATCGTTGGTCGAAGAACGGTCTCGTGAGCCAAGTCGGGAGGGTGGGAATGTAAGCTTACTCGTCTGCGTACCGTAGCTTCCCCTCGAACCCCCCGCTGTTCTTCAACACCAATAAGCTGTCGTGCAACACAACACCACCAAGCCCCAGCGATACACACCGCGTAATGACAGACCGCACTGGTATATTGATGCAGATATCTGTGTACATAGTCCACACGCCTTGGCTGCAGACTTTCGACGCCTACTTTTTGGTTCTTTCATACAATCGGAGCGGAACAGAAGGTGGGAGCAAACGCACCAGTCTGAACAAAAGAGAGTAGATGCGTCAATTCGATGCGGGTTAGGTCCAAAGGTATCATGACGCTCGCGGCCGGACCAACCTCCTTAAAAAGTCCCTCCCCTCCCTTTCCCAGTATTTCCCTTTCAACGCGCGCAGTAAAAAGAAAAAGAAAAAAGGCCACACGCAGCGTCCCATTCTATTCCAAAATGCCAAACTCCAAGATCGCCAGGCTCGGCAGTGTCCCGAACCACACATTATCACGGCCTGGAACCGCTTACAAACTCCGTGCCCCGGCAACGGCCGCAGGTTCGGTTGCCGCCTGGGCTCGTAATGCTTCGGGGGGTGTCTTTGGTATCACATCGTCCTGCCCAGCAGACTAAAAAATTTCATTGCGCGCTCTGCGACCTCGACCGGTTGCCGTGCCGGCTGGGCCGTGGAGTGCTGTTCCCCTCCCGCCCGGCGCCGGCGCGCACCGCGTCGGTGTAGCTGGGTATCGGGGGGTGCGAAGGGCCCGCCGCTGATGCCACCGTCGCGCCACGGCTCCGGTTGAGCACGCGGATGAGGGGCGTGTTCTCGCTGTCCGTGCTGTTCCGGCGGCTTCCGGCCTCCGAGGAATCAGGACTCGTGTACTCGGGGGGAGGATTCAGGGCGTCTTGAAGCCCAAGCCCTACGACGCTTTCCCCTTCGTGCCCGGGGTTGCTGCCGCTCGGCTCGCCGCCCTCATCGTTGGGCACGAAGTGCGTCAGGGAGATGTCAGTCGGGCTTCTCACGGGACCGGGGCTCCTCGGTGGTAGTACTCTGAAGTTTCCGCTCCTTGTGCGTCCATGCTGAGGACCCAGTCCACTCTGCGAGTACGACTGCGACTGCGTGTGCCCCCGCTGCTGCGTAATGCTGCCCGTGTAGCCGTCCTTGCGCCCGGCCTCGAGCAGGATGTCGCCCTGCTCGGAGCCGTACGGCGGAGGCGGCGCGAGGCTGCCGGTCATGGGGGCGAGGCCCCACTTCTTGACGTTGGCCTCGATGAAGACGAAGCCGGCCTGGCCAAAGTTGACGTGGATGATGCAGGGGCCGTTGGCGCCGACGGCGGGGAAGAAGTTTTGCGACTTGACACCGTGAACGACGTCCTCCAGTTTCTTACCGTTGCGGGTGAAGAAAATGGTGCCCGTCCGCGGGCGGTAGCCGACGCCAATGACGTCGCCCTGGACGTACTGCGGTGCGTAGGGCGTCGCGTTGAAGGGCTGGTTGCACCGGCGCTGGCCCGTCGACAGATATGCGGCGGAGTGTTTGTGGAAGCCTAGACAGTTAGTGCGTGCGGGAGAGGCGGAGAAGCAGGGACGGGTCAGGCGTACCGGGTAATCTGAACAACGGGTACGGCTTGGTGGCCATGCCGATGCTGATCAATGTGTTTTCGGGCTTGTCGTAAATCTTGGCCTCCCAGTAGTAGACTTCGTTCTGCTTCGGGACGGGCAGGTTGCTCATGACGGTGCATTCGGAGTCGAAGAACTCAATCTCGGTGCGGGCCTCGACGAAGCAGTTGGCGATTTCGAGCTCGGGCTCAAACTCCCAGGCGGAGACGCCCTTTTCTTGGATGGCGAGGTACTGGGACAGCGAAATGTCTGTCTGGACGGAGTCGGGCGGGTTCGCGTTAATGAATGCTGCGGGCTGGTCAGTGGTCTGTCTGCGGATGGCGCGGCAGGTGTTGGGTAGTTACCCTTTGCTCTCAAATACTCGGTCCGCTGCATGTCGTCCATGGACTCGAGGGCCTCGGCCTCTTCCCTGGCGAAGGCCTGCTCATCGTCGTACTCGCCGGGGCGTCCGATGCGATCGAGAAAGATGCGACCGCTGGCTGTGTATCTGAAGAAGTAGATGACGAGGAAGATGACGGCGATAAGGACGGCGGAGCCAAAGGAGGACAGCAGCCCGATGACGACGCCATTAAGGGCCGACGACGGTGTTGTCGGAGCCATGACGGGCAGGCGGGCGGCGGTCGTCGAGTCAATCCGGTCGGTCGGTTGGTCGGGTGAGGGATTGGAATCGGTCGATCGAGAGGAGGGACGGCTGGCGTCACCGCCGCGAAAGCAGCATTCGGGGGGGGGGGGGGGGGGTGGACTCGGCTGGCGGGTGCGAAGAGGAAGAGAAGGCGCGATAACAAACAGGTGGCGTGAGAAGGGAAGGAAAGTCGACGTCGACGGACGCAAGGGTTGAAAGCGAAGGCGAAGGAGAGGGAGAGATGCGGATTGAATCGGGATCGAAGTGGCTAGGTGAGGTAGGATGGGTCAGACGAGCTGGTCGTCGATGTCGCCGCGGCGGTGGTGGTGGTGGAGGTCGTTGTTGGGCGGTTGCGTGCCGCTAACAGCAGGGCACCTTGAGAGCGGTGCGTGCAGCAGAGCAGTGCAGATGGCTGGCGGTGGTGGTAGGTCTAAGGTACGGATAGGTAGGCGGCAGGTAGTGGTGGTGGTACACAGGCTCCGACTGTCCCAAGTCGCAGGTTGATGGGGCCTGGGGGTGACCAGGTGCTCTTTGGAGTTTGGGTGCCTCCCGTCTTGTTTGTGGCGGGTCCTCAGCTGAGATCGGACTCTGGGCGCTGTGCGGCGCAGTGGCCTGGTCTGGTCCCGTATCCGCAAGGTGAGGTGCAGGCAAGGTACGGCAAGGCAAGGCAAGGTATCCGTAAGGTTAGTGTAGATAAGGCGGCGCGAGGCGAGGCGGAGGAAGGACTAATAAGAGGTGGACAGGGCGGGTATCGATATGCTATGCCTATGCAGGATGGACGGCGTGCAGACAGAACAGTAGTCTGTCGATGGGATGAATCGAGGGAGAGGGGAAGGCGGACAGAAAAAAATAACGTCGTGAGGGCCGTGGACCAAGGTCGGCCGTTGACGTTGATGCAGCGCAGCAGCAGCTAATGCGTCGGTGTGCGTGTGCGGTGTGTGGTGTTGGACTGCGAGGGGCGTCGGCGGGAGGAGGAGGTGGAGGAAGGGAGGGGAAGAAAGATGATGACAGGATGAAAAAAGCAATCAAGATACAAGCAAGGGGCGACACACACTCAGCGCACGGCGGCACAACTAGAGAAGCGACTGATGGGTTGCAAGTTGCGCGATGCTCGGAGAAAAAAAGGACAAAAGATGGAGAGGAACATTGAGAGAAAGTCGTCGTCAGTTCCAAGAGCGACGGCGGCGACGGCGACAGCGCTGGTACAGGATTTCCCTGGAGATGTACGGCGCAGTTCTCTGTACACAGCAAGGCACGGCAAGGTACATGGTCATGGGCAGCGAACTGTTAGAGGATCGCGTCTGCATTCGGTGTCGCATTCTAACGGGTGGCGGGGGCCATTCCCGTACTGCGGAGACGCCGCGCCCAGTCGTCGCCCGTCGTCCGCTGCGGTGCCCAGTTCCTGCAAAGTACCTAAGGTATCATACCCATGGTACAGGCCAAAGATGACGCTGACTGACGGGTCCCAGCTCCAGCTTTCCAGGCCCGCGCAGCACGCGGTAGGCTCCCCTTCCCCCTCGCGACCTGGGGCAGACCTGGGCCAGGTACATGGCCATGCACGTAATGCCACCGCGGACGGGAAGTACCTTGAGGACAAGAGACAGGAACGGACTCTGACAACTCACCTCACCTTTGCATTGGAGCTGCTGCACAGCACATTGGACCATCCACCGAAGAGAGAGCCCGACCCCCGACCCCGACTCACCTCGACCCGTTGACCTGCAGCAATGCCATGGCCTCCGGAATCTGCGCATCCTTCTGGGTCGATGGGTCGCTGGGTCGCTGGAAGCACCGGAGACGGACGGGGCCATGTTGCCATGCTACATGCTACTGTGCTGCGTACCCGCGCCGCCAGAAAAAGTGACGGAATCAGCCAACGGTCAGTGTGTCACTCCCGGTGCCGAGTGTCAACATCCCGGGCAGCGTCGTTTTTTCCCATTCCTGTCGTCGCGTGCCCAGCAATCCTCGACCCTCCTACACTACAAGTTACCCCTCCGCCACCACTCCTCTTGTCGCAGGGTGCCATCTGTCTGTCTGTCTTCATTGTTCGACTCCAACCATCGACCATAAGCCATGCCGCCTCCGTCGATCCGAAGCCTTCGACAGCCCCTTTTTCAGCCATGGCATCCCGGCTAGCAATCAGCGAACAAGACAAGCCCTCCCAGGCACCCACGCGGCGAACGCATAACCACCGCCCGGACGGTCAAGCCTTAGCCCAGGTTGCCTAGGTAGGTAGGTACCTTACCTACCTTACTTGGGAAGTGGTAGGGCCAAGGGCAAAAGGGACGACCGAGTTGCTGTGTGCTTGTCAGGAGTGGCTGGCAGCCCCGGCGCAGCCCACTACCTTAGTTTCATCGGACAGAGGGCGAGGCACTTTTCGCATTGGGTTTCATGCTCTGGCCGTCTTTGTTCCCAAAGAGTTCCCTCGTCGTCTCGAAGCCGCCCGTGCTCAGCCGCAACCCCCCCCCCCCCCCCCCCCCCTTTTTTTTCTTTTCCAGTGTCTTGAACGTTGGTTGTCCCATCTGTCCAATAATGCCCCGTCGCCTTTGTTTTCGTGAGAGACACGCCGCGTGCCTGGCCGGCCGGTCTCATCGTCCAGTCAGAGCCGCCCCCTATTGCCATTGTCATGCCTTCCATGCCTTTCCTTTCAGGAACGTTATGCAACGGCTGCAGCAACTCAAGGCATTCTGCATTCCTCGCCCGCATCCCCATCCGGCCCGGAATCGTCCAAGCTGCTGCTCTATCGGTCCACGGCACCCCCATTCCAACATCCGTGGTCGTTGTCGGGTCCGGCCAACGTCGAAGCCATCATCTAGGATGCAAATGGTCAAGATGCGGCGCCGTCGCCAAAATACGGATAGGTCCCCCGTCAGTGCTTCATCGCCATGGATCCCGCCCGGGCTTTTCCCTCCTGTCAAGTTGTCAAACCGCCCCCTCCCCCCCTCGACGGCGCCCGCGAACGGCGACGGCGCACTGTCGCTAATCGGAAAGGCGAGCGGGCGGGCGGGCGCCCATCTGTGATGCTACACTCTTTTTCGTTGCGTTGCGCGTGAAGAACCCCGCCCATAAGGCACCCCTGCAGTTTCCCACTTTACGGGAGATCGCCGGCCGGCATCTGGAGGGTCTCCACACCGGAGCCGGCCCCCGCTCCCGATCACGACGCCGGTCTCTTTTTGTGCACGGTGAATTTGCAACTCCACCCGACGGCGACGACTGCGTGTGACACACTTTTTTTTTTTCCACACAGGCTTTTCCACACAGGGGAGTGGAGATACAGCAGCAAGGTGTATATGGACGGCATGCGAACTGTTGTGGCGGCCAAAAAAAAAAAAAAAAAAAAAAAAACATGACAGATGAGCGAAACTGGGCTTGACTTCACTCCGGCCCCGTAATCACCACTTCAGCCTTCGTACCGACGCCGCCCAAGTCCAGAAGGGTTTTTTGCTTGTATTTCCCGTTTGTTGGAGTTGCTCACTCGGGTTGCTCACTTGGGTTGCCCACTCAGGTTGAATCACCCCCACGAGCAAACCAGATCTGTGTTTTCGGTGACTGGGAGACCGGTAGATAGAAATCATTGAGTGCCGTTGCATTTCTGAACTCAAGTTGTCGTGACGTACTCCAGTCAGATACATTATTCACTAGAACGAGACCTTCATTCTTTCTACCCCCATACTAACCAAGCAAGCCGTGGTGTCCTCTCCCGCAGACTGCCAGAAATCCATCCGTTCTACGCACACAAACAATGCCTCGCTCATAGTCATTGTTTCCGGCAAGTATATATCCAGCTCGCTGCGTCCTGGCAGGATTTTTCCCCCTTTACCCAACTCGACAGGCTTGAAGGTAACACTCCAGTTGACCAGCCAGCCATAACTGACCAAGTCTGCTTCGTTTCTGCTTTTGCTTTCTTCCTTCTTTGCGAGTTTTTCACATTAAAGGTAAGCTTTCTGTTTCATTTTTCTTCCACTCAGTCTCTGCCAAGTCCGCTGCGTCTTGAGAGTGTCTTCTTTCCAGAGTCACCAGTCTCAAAGGCAAGCTTCTTATTTCCTTATTTCTTTTAACCAACTACTGTCACTTGTATACCCAGCCCGCTAGGAAACGTCTTCTTCCTCACCTTTCCACACGCGTTTTTGTCTGACACGTACATTCAGTCCGCAGCAGACAGCCAGGATGAACACACAGCAGGGCCCCTGGACACAGCAGCCGGGCTCTTGGGTACAGCCGGGCCCTTGGGCACAGCAGAGCATCTGGCTACAGCAGGGTTCTTGGCCAGAACAGAGCTGGTCACCGCCGGGTTGGACATCGCCGAGCTGGGCACCACCGGTTTGGCAACAGGTGCCTGTAAAATGCCTCGCCCACGGTCAATCAATGTGTCTTCCCTGCCAACAGTGGGTTCTTTGTACCAGCCGGTCACCTCCCGTCCCGCAAATCATCACGGGTGGTCTCCTCCACGCAGTAAACCAGAGGCCAACATGTCGGCACTACATCAATTACTGCTGCGAGAGGCCGGATAACTGTGACTTCCCCCACAGACACATTCGGCGCTCGCCAGCACCTTCTGAGAAAGACATCTGCAGGCACTGGTACAACAACAAGAGCCGATTGAGTAGGTGTGGGTACGGCGTGGAAGAGTGTGATTTCCACCACCCTTACAGAAAGCCAAATGAACGTCGTCTCCCCCTTGGCTCCTTTACGTGGAGGGGAACAACATACACCCCGACGATGGTGCCGCTAGGCTTCTCACCCCCGGTCAGCTATACCCAGGCCAGCTATACCCAGGCCAGCTATACCCAGGCCAGCTCTCCCGAGCCCGCGGCCTCCAGCACCGTCTCGCAACCCGAGCGCTGGAGCCAACAATGCCCGCTCCTGGACAAATGCCCGGGCTTCGAAAAGAGCTGTCCCCATAGGCACAGCATCATTGCCTACGGCACCCGCCAGCCAGAGGCCGCCGATGACCGCGCAGTTGGCGATAGCAGCCAGGCAGCCCAGGATGACGCCAGCGACAGCGAAGCTGGTCAATCCGCTGAAGAAGACCAAGACGACAGCGATGACGACAGCCAATACGAAAAGCCACCAAGTCGTGGTTGCTGGTCAGACGTCAGTGAAGAGGAAAGACCAAGTCTTCGGCGTACACGGTCAATGGAGTAGTTGCTCCCGCCGGCGGAAAAGATGACGAGATCGCTGACCAGGGGAGAAAGAGGATAACTTGGACGGGACACACAGTACGATATGGATTTCTTCGAGCCCGGATTTAGGACACAGGAGCAGGCGGTCGTTTCGAGGGCATCTGCAGTTACTAGAATGCAGCACCGGTTTTCTTTGGGCACTGTTTTGGGCTATTAGTTTAGGATACCCGGCAGCCATACTGGCCATGCCTCCTTTTACTTGTATTTGTCGATTTACGCGGTGTTCGATGGCACATCATGGAGATAGCACCATCACGGCATTACTTGGCCGGAAATAAAATGAATTCATCAACTCCTCTTCTGTGTAAGCCCCGTGCCATGAACCAAGCACAATCATCGAGATGCCATGAAACAAGTGGCGTGAACCACCACCGTCGAGCAAGTGCCACCAGGCACCGCACAACCTCCTCCACGCCTGCAGCCCTACAGAACGCCACCTCCGCAGCAGAGTTTTCGCATCGGATACGAGAAATCGCGCAGACGGAAAGGTGCAGCTCCTGCGTGGGGGCAGGCCGCAGAGGTGCAGAGTGGCTTACACTCAAGGTCTGCCTGGCAGCGCCCATAGGGCCTGGATGAGCAGACGGCTGTTCACGGGTCGGGCAGGGAAGTGCTACGGGAAATCCAGGAGGTCTTTAAATGAATAATACATCACTAAGAAGCAGATGCCTAACAAAGAAGACTTGTTGATGATCTAAAAAGATGCATGTGTTGATTCCCGATGCCAACGCTCTACACCCGACTCCGTGCGAAAGGAATGCTCGCGGCATCCACTGGGTAATCTGTATTTTACAACGGTACTCGCTTCATCCTCGCAGCTTCATCCTCACAGCGCCACCAACGGCTGCTGCTGCTGTTCCTCCTGTCGCTGCTCACCATGATTTTGTTGTGCCTCGCTGGTTCCGTTCTCTGTTTCATTCCGTGTCTCAGCCGTCTCCTCATTTTGGGCTTCCGTGTTCTCGGCGTTTGCTGCTGCCTCCGCGGCGGCTGCTCCGGCTGCCTCTGCCTCCTCCCTCCGCTGACGCTCGGCGCGAGCCTCAGCTTCAAGGTGGGCAATGTGGCGTTCTGCAACGCCTGGAGCGATGCTGGCAAGGAAGAGCAGGCCCGCTCTTTCGAGCCGACGCACCTGATCCATGAGCCAGTTGCCGTTGTCGTGTCTGCGCTGGTCCACCAGTCTGGCAGCTGCGCGTGCTGGGTCGGGGCGGCCGTCTGCGCCAATGATGGCGTCTCTGGCTCGCACCGGCTCGTTGGGCTGATTCGGCGCAGCCAGGGGGATCAGATTCTCCATATGACGTCTGACCGGGCCCACGGCCTGGTCGAAGAAGCCGTTGAGCAGCCCCGTGTTGAGGACAAAGATGCTAAAGGCGATGAAGACGACCGTGAACCATCTCGACCAGCTGGCGTTGGGCGACGTAAACCACCACACAAAGAGACCAAGTCTAACGATGAGCCAAAAGTGCGGCCACACCTGCGCAATCAGCGGGGCGATGCCGGGGTTGTTGGGATGCGCCGGCACGGCGGCAATGGGAGGCTGTCCCTGGGGATGAACCTCCGGCTGCGGCGGCGCCTGGACGGGGTCTGCAGGTTGAGCAGGCTGGTGCTCGTCCTGCTGCGCTTGAGGCGTGGCGAAGGTCGGCCACGCAACGTGCTGGGGCCGGCCTCTCATTCTGGCGAGGGCCGACGCCGTCTGGTGGAAGGTTGAAATCGGCTGGTACGGCATTCTAGTTGTAGGGGTATAGTACGTCTCTAAATTGTTGTTGATAAGAACGGCACGCGGGCCCTGGGGAGAATTCAAAATGTAGACCTCGGGGCCGCTTGGTGCTTGGCGCTGCACAGAGTGTCCGCTGCCGCCGCTGACGGACCGCGCGGTAGGGTCGGGCGTGGCCCGTCTGCTGCTAGCCCTGGAGCCCGGGGGATAGAAGGGGGTGGTGACGCCGACGGAGCCGTTGGCGAGGGACGTTCCCGAAGCACTCCTCTGCATGGCGTTGGTCATGGCAAGCGTCGCCTGGCCGGCGTCGGCGCCTCGCAAGATGTTCTGGACCTCTGACGCTGACAGCGGCGTCGTGCCGGGCTGCCCGTGAACGTTGAGCGTGCCGCCGAGAAGCGTCTCGTTGACGGTCACGCGGTACGGCTGGCCGTTCGGCATGACGCCCTCCCTGACGTAGGTATGCGTGTCTGGGTTCGCCGGGCTGACCCGGCCGCGCGTCGGGTCGGCAGGGTTCGCCGGCGCGTTGGGGTCACCGATGCCGTGCAGACCGAGAGACGCCCGGAGGGACTGGTTGTGGTTGATTTGCTGGTTCATCTGCTGGTTGGCCATGGCTCTGTTCATGGCCTCTCGCTGCAGCCCGTTCATCCACGCCGCCATGCTCTGGTGCTGCTGCGCCTGCATCTGCTGGATCTGCTGCAGGGACAGGTTTGAGGGTATCTGCGAGGGTGTCGGGAAAGGCAGGGGGTTCGACGTCGGGGGCATTGGGGTGCGCCTGGTGAAGGCCGCCGCCGTTGGCTGACTGCCATGCGGGTGCGCGTGGCCGGGGTTCACGGGGACGTGGAACTGGGCGATCGGCGGCGCCGGGCTCGAGCCGCGAGCCAGGGCCGGTGTTGGTGTCGTCGAGCGGTGCGTCTCCGCGACGTCTCGGAGAACCAGGTGGATGGTCTGCTGGTCGGTGTTGCGAATCTACTCGGTCAGCATCGCGCACAGCGTCAGCAGGTGGGCCAGCTTACGACTTCCTCGCCGATGACGTTCAACAGAGTGTCGCCGTCCTGCGACAGGGGCCGTCCCCGATAGATCAATCGCTGCTGGGCGTCGGTCGGCTTCAGAGGCAGAGCCTGGCGGATCCTCTCCTTGACCTGGCGGACGGTCGTCGAGGCCGGGAGGCTTGGGAATACCAGGGGCCGGCCGGAGCTCGCGGCGGTCGACGGTGACAGGACCTGCAGGTTTACGGACAGGTGGTCGGAAGCGGCCTCTGGCGCAGGCTGCGCGGTCGAAGACGAGGCTTCAGACGCCATGTTGACGTCCTATCGGTCATGCCACGCAAAGCGCAGCGCGGCAGCTCGGTCGAAGCGCTGTGATTGTCGGCGGGAGAGGTCCGGTGTGGTTGCGCGCGAGGACACGATTCTCATGTCACCGTGCCGTTGGTACTGGAAATTTAGGACATGTGTTGCCCTCCGAATGCAGACGGCAGGAGGTAGGTAGCTCAGGTACAGGACCCGCTGGCCTCACTAGGACGGGGTACGTACCCGGTCCCTGGGCGCCGGAAAGCCCGACCCATGCGTGCCTGCCCCAAATGGGGAACGGTGACAGTTGGATTATGTAACGCGGATGAGATGCATCTCACCATGAGGCCCAATCGTTTGCATGTCACTCACGTCGGGGTGTTTGTTGTGAAGCATAAGTCCATTTGATGAAGCTACTCTAAGTGTACTGTGATCCTTGGCTTCATCCTCATTTTCGCCTGACCCTGAATTCATCTTTCTGTCTGCCCCGTCTCATCAACGGCCTCACTTCGAACCCACATGATTCATGACAACTTCCCTCCCTCGCTCGCGTGCTCCCACTCTTTGAGGAGCCAACGCACGCCGTAGCAGTGCTTGACGTGCTCAGCAAAGTCCGTCTTCGCGTACGGCCTGGAGGCTGCGGCTTCCAAGACAATGTGAAAGTACTGGTTCCCTCGCAGCTCCGGTGGTATCAGGTGCTCCGGCACCGGCGGCATCGTGTTGAAACATGCGTTGCTCAGCTCCACGCATCCTTTGCAAAAGTGCCCGTGGTCAGCGCCAGAGCCGGAGACGAAGGGCATCATAATAGCCGCCATGCCCTCGAAAGCGTCCTCGACTCTGTAGGAAAACATCGGCACCGAGTGCTGCAGCTTGTGTGGCAGCCTGCCAAGCAGATTCAGGTCACAGCCGGGCGGTCCCAGCCTGAGGTGATACACGTCCCAGATGAAGTCATCCTCGTCGGTATCCATCGTGAGCATCGGCATCAGCTCGGCCAGCTTCTCCTCTGAGGAGTCGTGGATCCGAAGCGCCAGTTGCTTGAGATGCTTCACGCTGACCAGCCGGAGTGGCTTTGACCAGGTTTTTGACGTCCAATATCCATAGTCTCCCGGGAGAGTATGCATGACGGGAATTTCGCTCAATTGCTCACCAGTGAGAGAGAAGCACCTCCGCGCCAGGCTTTCCGTCGTCATCAGGAACGAGCGATTCAGCATCAGGCACGACTCGCAGACCCTCTCGCAGGTAGGCAGATACAGAAAGTCGCCAAACTGGAAGCATGAGGCGCATCTTTTCGACCTGAGCACACATCGCAGGGACGATGCCGGGTGATGACGGATGAGATTGGTCTTTGCGAGACCGACCAAGACGCCCGGCGCGTGCTGCATCATGTCCGCAAAAGCCGGCAGGCCTTCGACGGTGTCCTTGGCTTTCCTCGAGGTGCGGAGCAGACGTGAGAGTGATCGGAAGTCGAGTTGCTCCATGAAGAGAAGCAAGAGCTCTGTGGGGAAGCAGTCAAGCGTTCCGAGGCTTGAGTGACGGGACCCCAAGGGTAATGTCGACGGTCTCGCGGTTGTGTCTCGCTCATCGAATTGGATGCAGTGGATTTTCTTGATGTTCTCATGGTGATCGAGCTGTCTGATGGTCTGCTCCGAGAGCGCCAGAGGAAGAGTCTCGCAAGCCATTGTAAGAGCGGGTGAAGTGTGAAGGTTGATTGGTGAGTGCGAATGCGGATGTTGAGAGGTCCTTAAGTTGTCAGTTGGTTTACACACCAATGGATTTATCGGAAAGGTACCCCAGATCTGATCAATCAAGTCTTCGCTCTCATCCGAACGGGATCTTGGACAGTTTTACGATGCGAGTGGCAGCAAAAGGGGCAGAAGAAATTTGTGCCATCTAGATAGATTGATGGCGCAGCACGAACGCTCAGAAAGGAGCCAGACCAGGAAGACGCAGGAAGAGGGACCCTTGCACGCAGCTAAGTGATGGATTTTTCAGCTGGCAACAAGACAGCCTCACAAATGCCATTGCCAAGTCAAATTCGCTAGTTTTCTTGATATTTCTTTTCCTCGAGTCCCTTGACAAATAATTCTTCATGTTTTACACTGCCTTACGAGCTGAGGTCTTGGGGACTCGTAGCCACGTTCATGCTCAAGTCATAGGTTCGTGAACATTTACCCGTGGGAAAGGACGAAAACTCAATTGAATCCATTAATTAACACATAATCTTCAATTGAGCCATTTCGAACTACAATTCTTTTTTCTTCTTCTTTCACCACAGGGATACGTCGAATAATTTCATGGTGTTGAAGTTCATTTTATGCACACTTCCCAAAACAGACTAGCGCCTTGACATGGTTCGCGCTGCGTCATGCCACAGCTAAAGCTCTACTCGCAAGATCTCAGCAGAAGCCTCGCCGCCCGCCCCAGCGATTTATCGTCCCGCAAACCCGGCAGAGGCTCGCGGTTCGAACCCTCTCGACCTGATTGAGGCTTCCCAACACAAGATGGCCACGCTGTACGCGCGACCGAGCCAGCTGCGGGCCAACCTCCTCCACGGGCCCTTCTCCTCGACCCGTTTCTTCTCCCAACACCACCACCGCCCGCGCTTCTCCGACCGCCTACGGTTCGCCCTCAAAAACTCCAAAGTGCAGTGGTACCAGATCCCCGTGGGGGTCGGCATCGGCTTCCTGGGTCTCGTCCAGTTCTACAAGGTTTCGTCGCGCGACCGAGAGAGCCAGGAGAGGAGCGAGGTCCAGGATGCGCCACCCAAGAAGCGCGCAAAGATCAGGCCAGACGGCCCATGGCAGGTCCAGGTCATGTCGACGCTGCCCCTCAAGGCCATCTCGCGGCTCTGGGGCCGCTTCAACGAGCTGACAATCCCATACTACCTCCGCGTCCCCGGTTTCAAGCTCTACTCCTGGGTTTTCGGCGTCAAGTGAGTCGAGATTGCCGCCGTGAGAGGACGCTGCTAACCCTTCGACAGCCTGAACGAAGTCGCCGAGCCCGACCTCCACGTATACCCGAACCTCGCCTCCTTCTTCTACCGCACCCTGAAGCCCGGCGCCCGCCCCCTCGACCCGAACTCCCACGCCCTGCTATCCCCGTCCGACGGCAAGGTCCTGCAGTTTGGCCAGATCCAGGGCGGCGACATTGAGCAGGTCAAGGGCATGACGTACAGCGTCGACGCGCTCCTCGGAAAGAACACCCCCAGCTCCAGCGTTGCCAGCGGATGGACCACGCCCCAGGAGGCCGAGCAGAACGTCTCGTCGGAGGAGGACCTGGTCAAGACGGACGAGGAGTTTGCCCGCGTGAATGGCATCTCCTACACCGTGCCCAGCCTGCTGTCCGGCGCCGCCATGTCCCAGCGGGTCGGCTCCCTCAAGGACGAGGCCGCCGGGCCCCCCTCGCCGTCTGCCGTCTCCGAGGTCCGCGCCGACCTCGCCCTCGGCGAGAAGCCCTGGTACCAACTGCTGTCCCCCGAGAACAAGACCTCCCTCTACTACGCCGTCATTTACCTCGCCCCCGGGGACTACCACCGCTTCCACTCCCCAACGAACTGGGTCGTCGAGCGCCGCCGCCACTTCGCCGGCGAGCTCTACAGCGTCTCCCCCTACCTGCAGCGCACACTGCCCGGCCTCTTCACCCTCAACGAGCGCGTCGTCCTGCTCGGCCGCTGGCGCTACGGCTTCTTCAGCTACGTCCCCGTCGGCGCCACCAACGTCGGCTCCATCAAGGTCAACTTCGACCGCGAGCTGCGCACCAACAGCCTGACCACCGACACGGCCGCCGACCGCGCCGCCGAGGACGCCGCCAAGCGCGGCGAGCCGTACCTCGGTTTCGCCGAGGCCACCTACGCGTCCGCGAGCAGGGTCCTCGGCGGCCACGCGCTGCGCAGAGGAGAGGAGATGGGCGGCTTCCAGCTCGGCAGCACGATTGTGCTGGTGTTTGAGGCGCCCACGGAGGGCAAGACGGCAGAGGGCAAGAGCAGCGGCTGGAGATGGGCCGTCGAAAAGGGCCACGCGGTCAAGATGGGCCAGGCGTTGGGATACATTGACGAAGAATAAATGTCTAAAAGGCGGATGTAAACATATATAACGACATGTCAAATGATACAACACAATTGATACAGATCTAACGGAATGTGTGGCGTCGCGAAGGAATTGGATCCCGGGGGTTGTCAGATGCTTATTTCAGCCACACGGTTTCAATTGGTCGCGCAAAATCGCAGATGCAAGTGTAATCATCCAATGCGTAAATTCGTTAATCGCGCTAATCTATAAACCAAGCGGCCGCTTGTGTAACTCCGCCGAATGCTGCTGTATCTTTTACTTGCACCGTCTGTCTATGCACATCTAAGAGCTGAAGGTCTTGAAGATCTCCTCAATGGGCTTGAAGTCCTTGGGGCCGGCGTCGCCGGTCTTGCCGCCAAAGACGAGCTGGGCGTTGAGCTTCCAGCTGGCGGGGACCTTCCACTCGGCGGCGACCTGCTGGTCGACGAGGGGGTTGTAGTGCTGGAGGTTGGCGCCGAGGCCCTCGGCCTCGAGGGCGGTCCAGAGGACGAACTGGAGCATGGCGTCGGACTGGGTGGCCCAGCCGGGGAAGCGGTCGGCGTAGAGCTGGAACTTCTCCTGCATGCCGTTGACGACGTCCTGGTCCTCGAAGAAGAGGACGGAGCCGGCGGCGCCCTTGAACATGGCCATCTTGCCCGCGGTGCCCTCCCACTGGTCGGCGGGGACGATGGCCTTGAGGACGCCGGTGGCGATGTCCCAGAACTTCTCGTGCTCGGCGCCGTGGAGGACGACAACGCGGTTAGACTGGGAGTTGAAGGAGGAGGGCACGTTGGCGAGGGCCGTCTTGACGATCTCGTCGATGCGCTCCTTGGAGATGGGCAGGTCCTTGGAGAGGGGGTAGTAGGTGCGGCGGGCCTTGACGGCGTCGAGGAAGGCGTTGGCGTTGCCGGACATTTTGAAGGTGGTTCGGGTGGTGGAAAAGGGTCTTGAGGATGTGGTTGTGGTGGTGAAGAGTGGACGAGCGAGTCTGCGAGTTGCTTGGAATGCTGTTCGGCTGATGGAGATCATGATTCTTGCCTATTCATGAGAAGAGAGGAAGGCCTGCTTGGTTATATACTGCGACCTGAGCTGCTGCTGCCACCTGTTTTCCGGACCGTCTCAGAAACCATTGGAAACCCCCCACATCGACAGCGCAGCAACCAGCATGAGAGCTCCAAGATGGCGGGGTTCTACCGCATTGGATCCTACCTAGGCAAACTTGGCTCCATTCTCCAGCCGGGCCTTCAGGCGTCCCGATCATCAGACGGGGAACCTTAGACGGAACTGGGACCCCCATCGCGGGACTGCCGCCCATGACTGGCGGCTTTGCATTGCGCTCGGGCGCGCGGTATCGGGAAGCGTGCCTGGGCATGGAGGCTGGCCGCTGAGCAAATGGTGTGGTAATCAGGGATTCGATTACCAATGGCAGAGCAAGCACGCAAAGCACGCAAAGCACAATCGATAACGTGCTCCTGCCCCGTCAGAGAGTGTCTCTCTGGCGGCGGATCTTTTTTCGACAGCTGCAGCGGCGCTGAAGAAGACGATCCGTGTCGGTTCCTGCCGCTTGGCTTGTTTGGGCAAGGCGGCGATGACAAAGCGGGCAGACCGCGGCTGACATCATTCTTTTGGCGGGGTACCTGCTCGTTTCCTCAGAGGTAGCATCTGTATTCTTCAGCTCACCTTACTCGCCATCGGCCGAGTTTCGGTACAGAAACTCTACCGATTCATTCTTGAGTTCTCTGTTCAAACCCGGCTAAAAAGCAAAAGCGGATGGTTAAGCGACGAACAGAAAGAATGGCCCGGCTGGGCGACCGCGCGGGATTGCGAAACCACTGTGTAGTGCGCACCCACGAAAATTCTAGAAGGGTGCCCCGGCCCCCAACACCCCTCGCTGGGCGGTGAGGGTACCACCACACCTTCAGTCATCCATCAATCAGCTTCCACGCCTCCAACCTCCCGCCAGATCTCAAGCGCCAATACTGATGGCAGACCCTACACTACCTTGGCCATGCGCAGCGGCTGCTGCACCACTATTCTGGATGTCCCGCTGCAATAAGCACCCTAATGAACCCACCCACTGGGAGCTCGTTGCTTGGGCGACCTGACCCTCACGATCATCGAATGATGCCCGCGGCCGCCAGCCTTTCGGGCGGTGTGAACTTGTGCCGCGCAGAATGTCTCCCGTGCTGTCTCCCGCGCGGCTCGGAAACGTCAGAGCGACCCGACGACCTTGCCTGCATTCACAAAGACGAGCCGCATGCTTACATATCTGCAGGTGCCGCCGTCTGAAGGATATGTAATCGTACCGCGCGATTCAATCCTCAGCGCATCGCTCCTCTCGTCAAGCTCCCCTCCCCTCCGCGCGCGCGCAGTCTCCTTTGGGCAGGGAACGGTGGCGCTCGATGACTGGCAGCTGAATAAGCTCCCGCGCGGGACAATCCACCACACCTGAGCCCAGCGCCCACATCTCGATGGCGCCGGTCGTGCTGTGGCCATGGACCCACAGCTGGCTTCTGTTGGCGGCCATAGCCGGAATCAGTGATCGGAGGGGGCGCGGGTTGAGTTCCGATTCGGAATTATAATCGTTTCCCGCCGGAATTGCAATAACGGGACGACGAACTCGGTCCGAAGGCCGTCTGATGTCGACGCCGGAGCACTCCAGCGGCCGGTAACCAAGAGGGCCTTGGACGGAGACACCCCGTTGGTCAACCACGTTTGAAGCCGGCGTCCGGAGTGTGGAATGCCAGCGTGCGCTCCCGGTCTTGGCGCCGGTCACGAGGCTTCACGATCCGGAACACGGCCTGTGGGACGACCAGACGGCCGGTCTTCCGGATGGGTGTGATTGGAGTGCGGCCTCGGTGTAGGAGTCGGCGCCGGCACACCTAGGCTAATCCCACCGGCCGGCAGTGCTCACCAATTTCGGTGATGATGCTGAGCCCGACACAGCGTATGTCCGCGACGCGTAGTACTAGTGACAATTCACCGAAGGATGCCTCAGCCACGACGGTTGATGAAGCCGTTCCAAGTAAACTCCGAGGCCGGCTACTTATTCACGTGAATCACGCATGACATGTGCACCAGCGTCGCTTAAGAACCAGTCATGATACTACATATGTACTCAGCGCTAAGCATCAACGCCTGATCCAACGAATGCTTGCCAGTGGCCCAGGGCCGTCTTAGATGCAACCCATAGCCAGTAACCCCGTGTAAAACCCCTGTCTCGCAACAGTACAAGTCTTGCCGAACAAAAATCAACCCACCCGAAACGCCGTCTAGGTGCTTTTTCCCGCGTGGTATGTTAACCCCCCATGCTCTCGTGTTTTATTTTTCGTCGCCAGGCGCGGCTGGATGCTTTTAACATCTTACGTCCGATGACCGAAGCCGTTCCCCGAAAAAGCCGAGTCCGCGGCACAGCAGTGATCGACCGCGTCAGCAGTCAGGCGCCCCCATTCATAAACCGCTTGCCCCCCGAGTCACACTATTCGGGACATGCGGGCACTGCGTCTGCATATAAAGGTTGCGGCCCCGCCCTACCACGTCTCGGCGATGTACTGGCCGGCCTCCTTCTTCAGCTCCCAGTACTTCTTGGCCTCCTCCCGCTCCAGGTTGCCCTTCTGCATGGCCACGTCGACGAGCGCATCCTCGACGCCCTCGCCCATGCCCCTGGAGCTGCCGCAGACAAAGACACGACCGTCGACGGCGTTGGCAATGTACCAGACGAGGTCCGCCTGGTTGCGCACCTCCTCCTGGACGTAGCGGCTCTCACCGCGACGGCTCTGCACGACACGCTTGACCTCGTCTTCGTGCACACCCCACTCGCCGCTGTAGATCTCATCGACGAGCGAGTCTCGGATGCCCTGGAGCACCCAGACCTTGTTGGCGCAGTTGGCCGTCTTCAGACGACGCTGCACGAAGCCCCTGAAGGGCGCGATGCCGACACCGGCGCCAATGAGCAGCATGGGGCCGTCGGACACGAACTGCTTCGCGAGCGGGTTGGCCATGAGGCCCTTGAACATGGGAATGTACACCTCGGGCGTCTCGCCGGCGGCCTTGGCCTTGAGCCATCTCTGGGCCTGGCGCTCAAAGAAGCCGGAGCCGATACCGGTGCGGAGACCGCGACGCCAGTCAGCAGTCTCATGAACCGTGACGGCAATCTCGATCAGCCGGTGGACCTTGCCGTCGCGCGTCTTATAGGCGTCGTGCGGGTCGTTGGAGAGCGAGTAGAAGCGGGGCATCAGAGGGTTCAGGACCGACAGCAGCAGGTCCAGGGGCGGGTGCGAGCTGGGGAATGCGTTCAAGAGCTGGGACAGGGAGACATGCGGGCCGGTGCGGAAATCGCAAAAGACGCCCTGGCCCTCGGCGGCGCAGAGGTAGGTCAGAAGCTTCTTCTCGTTGGGGTCTGCGGCGTACTCGGCCAGGATGCGGAGGAGCTGCTTGGTCGGGGGGTACGACTGGATGTCGGAGCACCAGGTAAGCAGGTCACGGCGGGTCGTGGCCATCTCGCGGGCCTGGTCGTCGCCCCAGACGGTCGGCCAGCGGCCCCGGGTCGTCTTCATGAGCACCGGCTTGTCGCGGATGAAACGGGGAATCATCAGGGCATCAAAGACGTCATCGACACAGGCCTTGTCGTTGGGAGCCATCACACCGATAGCGCCGCCGACTCTGAAGTCCATGTCCTCCTCGCCGGGATAGCTTGTGATGTCGAGGTCGAAGTGGTAGGTGCGCTTCTCGGCGCCGGGCTTGGTCAGCTCGCGGGTCGAGTCGATGCGGGCGGCGTAGACATGGTAGGGCGGGTGCGGCTGCACGAACTTGGGCGGCTCCCTCGTTGTGTCGATGCCATCGAGGGTAAAGTCCTTGAACTTGCTCTGCAGGGTGGCGAGGTCGTCCTTGGGGGCGTCAGCACCCAGAGAGATTGCCGAGTCTGTTGGCGAGGGCACGTTGACGGTGGACCTCGGTACTGGCTCGAAGAAGACGGTCTGCTCGGGCATCTCGGCAATGTTGGTAAGGGTCGTAGGGATCTCGCCAATCTTGAGCGCGAGAGACTTGTATGCGTCATTGTCGGGGAAGGTGATGGCCTCGTACTCGACGCCCTCCTTCTTCTTGCCCAGCTTCATGCAGCAGCCGCCTCCGCAACATCTCTGGATCAGCTCGGCGGTGGACTCGCCGGTGATGCGCTGGATGTCTGCAGGGCTTTGAGCAATGAGGCGTGTAGAAGCGCGTCGTCTGCGGGGAGGCTGAGGCTCTTCATCTTGATCCTCTGACTCCTCGGAGTAGGTAAGCGAGGGGGCAGCCGAGGGCGCAGAAGGCTCCTCGGGAATGCAGCCGCTGGTGGAGCCAAGCAATGACGAGGCCATGGCAGTGGTGGCCATTGTGCTGTGCATCGCGAATGTGTTGTGGTTGTGCTTGTTCAAGTGGCGGATGTGACGACCTACGTGACTGTGGTGTGCGACAGGGGGGTTGGAGATTTTCGCGTGGAGGATGGCGTAAAGTGGTCGCGAGCGGTGGTAGTGGTGGTAGGATCGGGGGGCGGATAGTCAGTAGTTATTTAGCATGCTGTGGCAGCGTGGGTGTGTGTGTGTGTGTTGACGTTTTCATGCAGTGCGTGCGTGCTTGGTGACTGAAACCGGTGGGTGAATTCTTGATCAGATAAGTTTGATCAGATAAGCGGAAATTTGTTGTTATATCAGCGAGGGGAAGGGAAAGGAGGGAAAGGTTGATTCAGGTGGGAGGGAAGGAAATAGATGTAAGGTTTTGGAGGCGTGGAGGGCGATGAGGTAAAAACGGAGAGGGCCCGTCTCTGGCCTGGAAAAGAAAAAGGCCCTTGAATTTGTCGATCTCGAGCCGAGGACGTCGTAGCTCCTCGTACCCGTACAATACTAAGTTGATTATGATTTTTCTTGCCTTTTTGCTACGCA